TTTAAGAGAATAAAATTGTCATCAGAAACAATTTAAAAAACTAGAAAGACTATTGTGTAGCAAATAAAACTCCTGAAATTCTTTATTCTACCTTGAGGAATATTCTTATGGTAATTATATTCGTTTATTATGTCATTAGTTCAATTGTATGAAACAAGGACTTCATGTTGATTTTGCAGCACTCATTCTTAAAACATACTGTAGGAAATAAAACAGGGTTAAACAGTTATGCTATTTTAAGTTTTGTTTTTGTTTGTTTTTTATTAAAGGATTGGTTACAAGATAGACCATCAAACAGAGAAATGTAAGTAAGACTTTCCTCATCATTAGCCTAAAGTATCATAGTTACTGAATGTTGTCTTTTTTCCACTCTTTGCATCATCTCTTTAACATGCATTTACCTATAGGTGATAATTAGCATCTCCTGTTTCTGCACAGATGAGATTGGAGAAACTCATTTATTATAAGTTAATGTATATATTTAAATTTATCATTTTCTATAGTTATAATTTCAACTCTAATAAAATCTTCCTACTAATGGTACAATCATGATTTTATTGTTTCATCTTGTTCCCAACTTGTTCTTATAAATTTGTTGAAAGACTTAGTTTGAGACTTTAGTTTTGTACTTGCTTAACTTCTCTGCCCATCATTCTAATCAAATTTTGCATCTGCTTTTGGAAAGCACTTTGATGATTAGAGCAGCAGTAACAAACAGTATACTAGAAAACTTGCATACAGGAAGATCCACTAGAAAGGTGATGTGGTAATCCAGAACCAAAAGTGGAAACAAAAGGTAATCTGACAGATAATTGTCCCTGAAAAGTAGAATTTTTTAGTACAGATTAGACATAAGGATAAAGAAGAACCAAAGATAACTCTGTGTTTCCAGCCTAGGAATTAGTATTTTAGGATTCCAAAGGATATTGAAAAACAGAAAGGTCTTGTGTTGACACCCATTTGATATTGGAAGCGTGGTCAAGTTACTCTCTGATAAGAACTATTTGAGAAGAGAAGCCAATTTGAGGGTAATTATTATGTATTCCACAGTGTTCTCCCCCTTCTGTGAATCAGAAGCGGATGTGAACATATAGAGAAGAAAATAAACCACGTGGATAAGCAGCTCTTCAAGTTGAGTGTCTTGGCCCTGAATGGCATTTGGAAGACCTACCTGTAGTCAGACCTCTTCAGGGAATATTGTCTTTTATAACTAAAGCCAGAGGATGTAATTACAGAATAGGTACTCGAAGTTGATGTTAATTCTGGTCTCTAACAAGGAAACATTGTCTTGTGGAATGCTAACCCAGAGAAGTACCCAAAGGGTGGTGTTGATTCTCACTCTGGAGGCTGAGAAAAGAGTGGCTTCTCAGCCAGCAGCAGTCAAAGGAATGATGCCAGGGCCAAAATACTTCTTATAAGAAAATGTTTATATTATTAAGGTGAAAATCAACAGGAAACATCAGGGTCAGATAGAATGTAAGAGCTAGAAAGAGACTGCAAAAGTCCTCTACTCCCGAGGTCCTTTCTGAATCTGGTCCTTTTAGTCCTAAGCAAGGCCACATAGCTGTGTAATGAATGGGAGTGCTAAGCCTCTAACCCATTTTTCTTGATTCCCATTCCATTCTGCTTTCTCCTATACCAGTGGAATCCTTGGAATTAAAGGAACATCCACTTGGTGCCTATATATTTTTTTATACATAAATATATTGAACATTGGGAAAATTTTTTCCAACATTAGAAATTGAGTTTTGCAAAATGACATCTATTTATTATTATCTCAGTTCTTTGCCCATCACTTCTGTTGAAGTTTTTTTAATATCCTGCATAGTCATTTCAGGGCATTGTTATAGTACTGGAATGAATCTCTACAAATACAGAAGTTATGAAATATTTTACTCTATTAGTATTGAGCCTTCAATTGGGCACCAAACTACTAATAATATACTTATGTAGGCATAAGTTGTAGAGCCAAGTTCTTGATAAACGATTATGGGTATGTCTGAGTGCTTATCTGTATGGATTTGGGATTGGCTTAAGGGAAATGGCAAATATTCAAACAGAAGTGAATCTGAGTTTCAGGATGCTCGTAATTTTTCATTAAATAATTATGATAACTTTATAAAATAAAAAAATTAAATGATAGCCAAAACTAAAATTGTAGAATAACTTATACTATATATTTTGGTGTTTGTTTAGGCCATCTGAAGAAGGAACATTAAATGGTGAGTCTGTGTGCTAGATTTAATGTGAAAAATTGAGAATCATATATCTTCTATAGCAGATACCACATTATCCTAGGTAAGACATTTTAGACTTCAAGTTTGAAAAAGCCAAGGAAATGAAAACTTCTTCCCTCATATAGTTTCTCTGTAATATGTAATGTTTCACAAACACATGAACCACCCTATGAATGATGATCTCTTTGCTGTCAGCTCCCATATACGCCTTTTAATTTCTGCTGCCCAGCCTGCTCCTTCTCTAATATTCCCTGTTTTAATGAATGATATTCTTTCAGTCAGCTATGTGAAACCTAAGAGGAAGTTCACTTTACCTTGACTTGGCATTCACAAAGTCCTACTGAATTTACCTCTTAAAAATCTCTAGAATCCATCCTCCACTATACATTCCACTGCTGCTTTCAGTTCAGACCATCATTCTTTAAACTTTTTAGTGAATTTTATAAATAATGTCCATACAGAATAATACAGATAAGCCTACAATTCAGTGAATTCTCACAAGATAAACATACCAATGTAATCAGCACCCAAAAAACAAAATGTTGCCAATATTCCATCTCCTTTGTGTCCTCTTCTTGTTATAACCCCTGTCCCTAACATGACAGATTAGTTTTGCTGGGGAGTGGGGAGGGTGCTATATGAATGGAATTCTACAGTATGTTCTGTTTTGTGTCTGGCTTAACATATTTTTGTGAGATCATTATTGCTGTGTATAGTGGTAGTTTGTGCATTCTCACTACTATATGGTATTTCTTTATGTGAATATATTGAATTTATCCATTCTACTATTTGATTGGCATTTCAGTAGTTTCAAGTATGTGGCTATTATGATTTCTGTTGCCATAAGCATTCTTGTTCATGTTGTTTGGTAAACATATGTATTTATTTTCTTTTGGGTATATACCTAGGAATGGAAATGCTAGGTTGTCGTGTATGCATGTGTTCATATTTAGTAATTACTGCCAAATAGGTTTTCAAAGTGATTATGCCAGTTTGGGCTTTGTTCCTATAGTTTTACTTCTAGTCTACCTTTTATTCTGCCACCGAAAGGATTCTTCTAATAGACCTAACCTTGTTACTTCTTCACTTAAAATTTTCCCCACTGTCATTCAGTAAAATCCATTGTCTTTTCTTAGCATGGCATACTAGGCTCTTAATTAGATATTCCCTACTTCTGTAGCTTCACCTTCTACAGGTATGCCTATACTCTTGCTCATTAATTTGCAATCTTGGCTGCATATTCAAATCACTTGTAGAGAATTGCTTGTATGATAACATGTACCTGCAGAATTACAATATATTGGAGTCAGATCTGGGTGGGTGTATGTTCAAACAGCTCCATAGGTCATTCTGATGTATATAATTAGTCTTATTCATATTAAACTGCCTGCAGTTTCCCAAGTATAGCATGCATTTTAACACTTCTGTGAGTGTGTAAATGTAGCCCTGCGCACACCACTGCCTTGCAGATTACTCTTATTTTCCCCTTCACTTTCTCTGAGACAGCCTTCGACCTCTCCTCAACTAGGAGGCATTATGTACTCCTCCTCTGTAGCCCTATTATATGCATGCATTAGTGTGTGTATGTGTGTATGCACACATATATTTTCTATACTTATCACACAATGAAAACTATTGATTTTCATTTTTTGCAAGACAGTAGTTTCCTTTTTATTTCGTATTCTAGAAACTTAGCACATAAGAGATTTTATTTATTCTCCAGTTACATTTAAAAGTAAAGTCCTGAGGCCGGCCCAGTGGCGCACTGGATAGTGCGCCGCTTGGGAAGCTCGGCAGCGCTCCCGCCCGAGGGTTCGGATCCCACATACAGACCGGTTCCCGCTCACTGGCTGAGCGAGGCGCGGGAGCAACGCCGAGGGTTGCGGTCCCGTTGCCGGTCCCCGGTCCGGTACGGGGGCAACACTGAGGGTTGCGATCCGTTGCCATCCGTTGCCGGACACGGAAAAAGACAAAAAATAAATAAATAAATAAATAAATAAATAAATAAAAGTAAAGTCCTCAGAAAATTTAGAGATGGGGGAGGGGCTTTGGGGGGTGTATGTTTCACATTCCAGAAGTTCACCTAATGGTAGACCTGCTAAAATAGTTACAGTCCTCAACACCTAAAGGTCAGAAATGAAAAGATTTTTCTTTTTGAGTGGGAGGTATGTAAAGAGTGCAGCGTATGGTAGGAATTAGGAGAGCGTGAGACATCATGTGCTTCCTCCCTTCCAGGTGTCTGAGTGCACAGTGGCCACTAATCTGGCATAATGAAATGGGGTAATGTAGCACATAATGGACATATTTCATTATTTGTTTTTTCTATTTTTGTGAGGAGAGGTTACATGAAGGGAATTTAAGATGGTGATATGAGAATGAGCAAAAATTACTGCTGCTCTAGTACTCATAAAACAGTCTCATTTGTTTATTTGCCATTTTAGGTCTTGCTTCTCCATTTAAGCCAGCTATGGATACAAATTACTATTACTCAGGTCAGTAATATTAAAAACAAAGTTTAGTAATATTTTGAACCTTTAGGTATTTTATTATTTCTCTCTCATTTTTATGCAGCTGTGGAAAGAAATAACTTGATGAGGTTATCACAGAGCATTCCTTTCACACCTGTGCCTCCAAGAGGTAAATCCAAAAAATAAATAAGTAAAAGGGAAAATAAACCCTTTTACTGATTTTTAGCTATAACATAGAACATGGGTGGGGACAGAAAGAAAAGGGATCACATTAAGAAGTGTAAATTTTATATAAATTCTTAGTCTGACGAATACCAGGGTCACGTATACTTAAATGGAAGAAGGAAATATTGGAAGTATTGAATTTCTTTAATACAGGTTCATTCAGAAGCAGTGGTGTATTCTAATTCAGAAAAATTCTTGATCCACTGTCTAGTAATGAAAGTATAGATAAATTGACATCAAAGAGTCTGTGGAAAAAATAACTCTAACCTCCCATCTAAAAGTTTAACTCAGAAGTATTTAGAATTTCAGTTGCTTTCTTAAAGTTTTTTAAAAAATGTTCAGAATTTCAAGAAAGCCTATCATACACACGCTCCCATCTAAAAGTTTAACTCAGAAGTATTTAGAATTTCAGTTGCTTTCTTAAAGTTTTTTTTAAAATGTTCAGAATTTCAAGAAAGCCTATCATACACACGAATTCAGAGATATTATGGAAGTAGATTCTTGATTTCCTATCATTTGTTGCTCTTAAACTTCTTTTTATAAAACTACAACTTGATCTGTTTCCTCTTCTGTTACTTATTTAATCTTAACCAAAGATGCCTGCCAATTGTTATTCTACTTTTTTGTTTTTTAAAGTCATAATTTGATTTTAAACTATGTCCATTTGTGTTGTAGGTGAGCCGGTCACAGTATATCGTTTGGAAGAGAGTTCGCCCAACATACTGAACAACAGCATGTCTTCTTGGTCACAGCTAGGCCTTTGTGCCAAAATAGAGTTTTTAAGTAAAGAGGAGATGGGAGGAGGTTTACGAAGAGCTGTCAAAGTACAGTGTACCTGGTCAGAACATGATATTCTGAAATCAGGGCATCTTTATATTATCAAGTCTTTTCTTCCTGAGGTGGTTAACACATGGTCAAGTATTTATAAAGAAGATACAGTTCTGCATCTCTGTCTTAGAGTAAGTGCTGTGAATGCTTAATGATGGAACACAATTTGAGCTTCATATTTTCATTTTTGAAGTGCAAATAAATCAAATAAAATCTTAGTTTAAATATTCAACAAGGGTTTTTTTTCTCCTTCTGTAGGAAATTCAACAACAGAGAGCAGCACAAAAGCTCACATTTGCCTTCAATCAAATGAAACCCAAATCCATACCATATTCTCCAAGGTAAATCCTTAAATTTTCCTGGGATCTTTTAGTATTACGTGGATAGCAATCTCTTTTGAACTTCACTAGTGATGTTGAATATTTGATTATTTACCTATTTTTAAGTCAATTATAATTTTATTAACAAAACTGTTAGTAATATCTATAACTATTTTTTATAAGGTTCCTTGAAGTTTTCCTGCTGTATTGCCATTCAGCAGGACAGTGGTTTGCTGTGGAGGAATGTATGACTGGAGAATTTAGAAAATACAACAATAACAATGGTGATGAGATTATTCCAACTAATACACTGGAAGAGATCATGCTAGCCTTTAGCCACTGGACTTATGAATATACAAGAGGGGAATTATTGGTACTTGATTTACAAGGTAAATTTATTAAAATATTGCTAAGAAATTGTGCAATAGGTTCTCAACTATTCATGTGTTATGAGTGATATAGAAAAATCTGCTAATTTATGGGTAGGTAAAATCTGAGACTAATAGAAATTATTCAAAAAGTAAATCAATCATATCCTTAGTGTATAGCTATCAGGGCTGTGAATAGTGGGATCTGACTATATTAATTGTTTTAAGATAATACAGATGTTTAGATAAGCAAAACATGTGAAATCCCCCTCTACTCTTAGATGTGCAGCCCTTGAGTATTTCAAAAGTATAAAGACCATTTCTTTAAAACAATAACAGATACAGATATTGTTCTTTAAAACAATAACAGATGTTTATGTTACCCATTACTATGAACTAAAGTACCTAAAAATTTAGTGGTTTAAAACCACCACCATTTTATTTACTTACAGTTTTTTGATTCAGGAGCTTGGATGAGGCAGTGGAGATGGCTTATCTCTGTTACTGTGGAGGGCTCTAATGGCTGGAGACATTGGACAGCTTGACTGTCTCTTCATTGTCAGCTGAATTCCCCAGTTCTTTAAGTGTTCTCTCCACATGGCTAGTTATCTTGGGTTTTTTCACAGCGTGGTGGTTTCAGGTAGTTGGACTTTTTACATGGCAGTTGGCCTCCTCTATAGAGAAAGCAGAAACTCTCAGGGCTAGGACCAGAACTGGCCCAGATTTCTTCTACCATATTTTACTGGTCAAGGCAAATTATAAGGGCAGCCTAGATACAAGGGCAGAGGGAGTAAATTCCAGCACTTGGTGGGTAGAGCAGCATGGATACAGGGAGGGATTGCTCATAGCCATTTTAGTAGATAGATTCTGTCATACATGTGAAAGAAAAAAAAGAAATTGTGGCTGGGAGAGGGCAGCTTTGCTTAGAGTAATGTCTGTTCTGCTTCACAGCAGGGTCAAAGAAAATTGAGCAGGTTGCCAGCTCTGCTTAGGTAATACTTTCACATTATGGCTTCTATAATTTTTCTCTAGATGCTTAAGAACGGTTGTTTAGAATATTTATCTCTCAGTGACTCCTTTCATTGTACAAACACAAATATAAAAGATTTGTTGAAAAGCAAACAGTATTGATTCAGCTCAAGAATGAAAATCTGTGTAAAAATGAGTACTTTTTTTTTTGTCAGTAGTTCATCACTTCATATAAATGATTAATGTGATATATATAGTGGAAATCCTGATGTATGTTTTTTTTTTGTCAGTAGTTCATCACTTCATATAAATGATTAATGTGGTATATGTAGTGGAAATCCTGATGTATGTCATCAATCCAATTAAATTTAAAAAATAATTAAAATGTATTTTTCAGAAAGTACCATTTAATTTTCTTGAAGCATGCATAGGAAATGAGGACAAATTTTATTCTATTTTCAGAAAGTACCATTTAATTTTCTTGAAGCATGCATAGGAAATGAGGACAAATTTTATTTATTCTGATTTAAAAAGATGGTAACTATTTTCAATAAGCAAAGTAATTGTGATGTTCTCTACCTAATTAGATGTTCATTGGTCCATTTTTTCACAGGAACATTTTAGGTGATTACTACAAGTTAAAACAGTATGGAAATATGTAAAGAACAGAGTGTTCTCATCCTTACTGTTTCTCTACTTCTGTGAAGACATGTATTCAAATGAAGGTTTTTTCCCCCTTATTTTTTTTTTTTTTTTTTATCATTTTGTTATGTTATGCTTCCCCCCCCCTCCCCCCAATTTTTTTTTCACCTTATAATATGTCATGGACATCTTCTAGGTCATTGCTGATAAATTCTCGTTATTTCTTTTAATACCTTTATGATAGTCTGTAGTTTGGATGTACAGCATGATTTACATCCTCTTTTGATAGACATTCACTGTTTTTAGTTTTTTGTTTCTACAGTGCTGTAACAAACATACTCATGTACTGCTACTTTTATTTCTGTGAAGTGGGTTCCTAAATTGGCTTAGTAAAAAGAGATGAGTGCAGTATTAATTTTAACAACTACTGCCAGGTTACTTTCCCAAAAGTTTGTAGGAATTTATATTCAGTGCTGTATATAAGTGCCCATTTCACCACAGTCTCTCCAGTATTGAATATTCTTAATCTTTGCCAGTCTTTTACTTTGGAAAATAGTATCATGTTTTAATTCTGACTTTTCCTTTTGTGAAATTGAGCCATTTTATTGGATTTTGTTCTAATGCGTTAAATATTTGTGATTATTCAAAATGTCAGTAGGTGGCTTTTTTATATATACATATACGTAAATATATGAGAGACTGGAAGATTTAACCACACTTTTAATACCTCTGGGTAGGGCTGGAGGTGAAGGAAGATGTTCACAATATTACTCTATAAAGTTATCTGAATGTTTTGCAAGAAAATGTTAATGTGTGATTTTTTTTTTTTTTTTTTTTTTTTAATCTAAAGCATTTCTTTCAAAAGTCCTACGGGTAATGCCTTCATGTACTGAATTGTTCTTTGCTAACTAAGGCAAAACAAGGGCAGATTGTATAGACATTTTACAAGTAAGGAGATATTTGCTTGCAGCATTGGCCCTGTTGAATCACAAGCCGGGTACCATCAGGAGCTTACATGCCTACCTGCCAAGTCTGACATTTAACTCATGTTCATACCACAGGAGCTGCGTCTGTTCCTGGTGGGATGCCAGGGTCTTAAGTCAGGTTATGAAATACCAAGAGAGAAAAACTACATTCTTTTGGATATTTAACATTGTAATGATTGATGATGCTATGAAATCGTCAAGACTATTTTTATTATTCAGATGTTGATGTCTATATCAATTATATAATGTAAATTGTCTTTTTTATATATACATATAAAGGCGTGGGTGAAAATTTGACTGACCCATCTGTGATAAAAGCAGAAGAAAAGAGGTAATAAGTTCTGACAGTTTCATTAAGGCATATTTTCATAAGTTCAAATTCTACATTTCTACATAAACTGACTTTTTTTTTTTTTCTTCTTCTTAAACTACCAATTCCACAGATCCTGTGATATGGTGTTTGGCCCAGCAAACCTAGGAGAAGATGCAATAAAAAACTTTAGAGCTAAACATCACTGTAATTCTTGCTGTAGAAAGCTTAAACTTGCAGGTAAAATTTTTCTTAATCAGTATATACATGAATTGTTAGCACAGTTGGTTACTACAGTACTTCATAAAGCCAGCAGTACAAAGGTTTGATTTAATGGTCTCTAATTGTGCCAGCTTCAACAGCTCTTTCACAAATACACATTGTTGGTTTTAAATGGATCTGTGATTCCTTTCATTACTTACAAAAATACAAAGTTCATTCATTTAATATATTTATTATGTGTCTGCAGGATGCCAGAATTGTGCTAAGTGTTGACAGTAGAATAGTGAACAAGACAGACATGGGCCCTGCCCTCATGGAGTTTAGTTGAATGTTGAATATTGGCAAGATTAGCAGGGAGTTATAGGACGGATAAATGCCAAGAGACAGGAAAAGAGTGCTATAGAACATGTAAGCAGGTCACTTTAACACAAACTTAGATGTCAGGGAATGATCCTGGGGAACTGACGTATTTGCCTAGACCTGAAAGATGAATAGACTTCAAGTTAGCCTGGCAGAGAATTGGGGAAGGAGTAGTCCATGAAAGCATGAATAGGAACTGCAAATATATCTGTCATGATAGTAATATCTTTGTATTTGAAGAATTACAAGTTACTATTGAATTGTAAGTTATTGCACAAACCAGTGGTTCTTTCCCTTTGGTGTGCATCAGAATCCTGTGTGGAACCTTTAAAAAATTACTGATGTCTGGGGCCCACCCTTAAGCTATATTTTTAGAAGTCCTATTCATTATGACCCATAAGGTAACAGATAAGAGTTTGGACTCAGGAACCAGACTGCATGGCTCGAAAGAGTACCTACATCATAGGTTTTCTGAGGATTAAGTAAGTTGGTATTTATGAAGTACTTCAAACAGTGTCAGCCACATAATAAGTATTATTAGGCATATAAATAGTGCTGTTTTTAAAATTTCAGTAATTGTTTATTGCTAGTATACAGAAATACCATTGATTTCTGGTATACTTACCTTGTGTACTGCAACCTTGTTTAACTCACTTCTTCTAGGAGCTCTGTTTTTTTTGGCAGTACTTTAGGAGCTTTTTAGTATACACAATAAAGATAGTTTTATTACTTCCTTCCCAACCTGTATGCCTTTTATTTCTTTTTCTTGACTTTCTGTATTGGCAAGGATATGCAGTACAATGTTGAATAGGTGTAGTGAGAGTAGACATCCTTGCTTTGTTCCTCTTTCACCATTAAGATGATGTTAACTATAAGGGTTTTGTGGATGCACTTTACTAGGTTGAGGAAATGTCCTTCTACTTCTTGTTTCTTGAGAATGTTTATTTTGAATAGGTATTGAATTTTGTCAAATGTTTTTTTCTGTACCTTTTGGTATGATCATGTTCTTTTCTTCGTTAGTGAGTTAATGTGTAGTGTACTGCATTGATTAATTTTTGAATGTTGAATCAATCTTGCATTCCTAGGACAAAACCCTTGTTGAGACACATATCTTATTTTTATATATTGTTGAATTCAGTTAGCTAATATTTTGTTGAGTGTTCTGCGTCATGAAGAATATTGGTCTG